GAAGCAGCTGTGGTTAGCATGTCTACCTATTTCAATATACTTGACATTATGTAGGGGGTATACCTGGAAATTGTGGTCCAAGAACCTACACACGAGGATAATCCAAACTACTGTTTTATGAGGATTGACTGTGAATGCAAACCTGTGTGCAGAACATGCACAGAAATCACTTTTCCGTTACCTACCTGGTGGATTTGTACCAGGCTCCACTCAGGTGTTCCCGAGAGGTCACCATATGATGCACAGTGTAAATTAGTCAGGTCTGAAGTCTTTCTGGAGACCGCATCTAGCATATGTGTATCTAAGACTCCACACCTTCTTGCCTGCAAGAAACTGCTTTGTATTTCCATGACTGCTGAAGGCACCGTCACTCTGGAGATGTCTACTGACCCCCTGTCATTTTGCCAAGGGCACCCCTGTTAGTTCTGGGTCTGAGACCAGCTTACTGGGCCCCTTCATTGCTGTAATAACTTTTCTTTTGAAGACCTGAGCAGGGTCATCCCAGCCCCTCCTGCCTCTGCCAGCAAGAAAGCCATAAACTCTGACTTACTCAGTCCTCCATCTCAGTGTAACTGAGGGTGGTTCATCTTCTTGGAAGGGTTTCTGACCTGGTAGGTCAGGAATTTTCCAGAATGTGAAATGTTTGGAAGTCTCATCAGTCTGGAGTGGGAGATCCAGGTTCAATTTCTTATTGCTGTGAAGAGCTCTAGCTCCTAAAATGCTGTAGCACCATAACTGCTACTGGCATTTCCAGAGTATGGGGAAGGGAGGTTTATTACTGCTTAGGGGTGATGGCAATACTGCATCTTGTGGTGCTTTCCATCCTTGAAAATGAATGGTGGAGCAAGCCCACCAGGAATTCTAATGAGAGGCACACACTCGCCTGCTGTAGGTGACCCTGCTTCGGCAGGAGGGTTGGACTAGATGACCCACAGAGGTCCCTTCCAAACCCTACCATTTTGTGATTCTGTGATTCTGTTTTGGGCTGCTTCTGGGCCAAATATTGAACAACTCAGCACTATGACGTCTGGAACCGTTCTGGCTGTAGTGCTGGGTCCCATGTGAGAGAGAAGTGCATCTGCCCACCATGGCACCATGCTGCTCCCTGTTCCCGCTGTCCTCCAGCTCCACATGCCTGTAGCTGTCAGAAAACTTTAGGCCCCTGTGGTGGGTTTCTTGGGGACATCTTTGGGTATGGATGGTGATTTTCATGTACGTTGGTGGCACATCAGCAATTCCGAGATACACAGGTTAATTGTGGAGATCGCTGTGTTTATTCTGGTGCCAAGTGAGATTAGGGATTTACAGATATGGGTTGTTTAATGATCTTAACTCTGAGAAGACACTGTATTTTAAAGTCAAATTTTTTGCTGATTTTCTTGGTGACAGAATAAAATGCTGATAGCTGTGCACTTCGTGGAGCCTTAAAGAATGGGGTTATAAAAACTACATTCACTTTCAACCATAGGTTGTAGTTAGTTGTTGGATTGTTTGATATGAGGATTTCATGGCTTTGGCTGGTGAATGTAGTGTGTGGGTTCACATGGCTTAAGAGACATTAAAAGGATTCATCTGGGGGAAGGGAGGAGGAAAGGGAATAGAGCAAAGTCTCTTCTTCCTTCACCTCAGAATTTCTAGAAACTCCTTTAATTTTTTCCGTGCAGCACACTGAGCCACAGCCCTGCTCTGAACTCCTTGCATTTGGATGTGCGGAAAAATACTTAGCTGAGGCGTGTGCTCTGCACGGCTGCTTGGTGGTTAGAGTTTGCTGTAGCAGGTCAGGACAGTGGATGATCCAGCCCAGTTATTTCTTGTACCTAACGCTCACCTTGCGTAAAACCAAACCAACAAGCAAAAGCCCCAAAACTTAATTGTTTTTGTAATTCAGCCCATGAGAGAGAGAGTGGAGCCCTTCCTGGCCCACCCAGTAAGCGGCTTGTGGCCCAAAGTTTGGGGCTCTGCACCCGTCCTCCTAGCTTAGAGATGGTACTGTACCACTAGCCAGAACAACGGACAGATGAAAGGTAGTGTGACTTTTCTGTTAGACTTTGTTGCTCCTTCATAGGAATGAGAAAATGCTGACACGGTCTGTAGGAGCACTCGAAGCAAAGGAAAAAAATTCAGAAGTAAAAATAGTTTATTGAGGTTATTAGCAGCTAATTCGGGTTGAAATGTGCTGTTTGTCATGCCTATCGAGTTATTTTTTCTTTTTCCCTGTCTGAAAACTTTTTGCGTAATGTATTTACTTTTTTTGTGAAAATATATTTATTTTTTTTGTGAGTATGTAAGCATTGTTTTTTGCTCTATTTTCAAACAGAAAAGTTCAGCTCATGTTTCAAAGTTGCTTGCTGTGGCAGTCTCAAGCTGTCATACGATGTATGGCTCATCCTCTTGAACCGAAGCGCGTGTTCGTTCTGCCTCGGGGAGCTGGCTGCAGCTTTTAAAAGGGAAGGAGAGACGTTTGGTGAAAATTGGTGCATTTTGGTGCAAATTTAATCTTGATAAAACTCACAAAACTTTCTTCAATGAAATAATAATAAATTCTTAAAAACACATCAACCACTTGGATTCTTGAATACACAGCTACAACTAAAAAGCAGCGCCCGGGCAGATGCCCTTCGTGCCAGACCTGATCAGCACAGAAAAAGTAACAATTTTTCTCAGTCTCTGATAGAAAGGGCTGATTTCCTCAATGGAAGAAGTTTCTCACGCTGTGTGTAAGGGGGGATCCACAAGTAGCCAGATTTTATGCTTCTTTTCCCACGTTGAAAACCGCCCTAATTATTAATTAAATGTTAATTCCCTTCGAAGCTGAGAGAAGTGCTAATTCAGCATGGTATTTGCCAGCTCCAAAGAGCTGTTTTGTTCCAGGAGCTACGGGGCTAACAAAATGAAGTCTGAATTAACATTTTCACCACTCGTAGAGATGTCAGGAGCTGACGCGCCGTGCTTTCCTAGCATGCTTGTTGCCTCGTACATCTATTTCCGTTCAATGTCGTTACTCTTCCCATGGGCAGCCAGTGAAAAGTAGGCATCACCCAAAGTACAGGATCCAGGGAAGTTTCCAGCTCATAGCCTTTGCCACTTGTAACCATGGGCAGAGAGAGCGGCAGGGGATGAGAGGGCAGCATGAAAAACTTTTCAGCAGAAGTCAGCACAAAGACAAGAAATGCTGGGTTTAAAGATCTGTCTGCCAGTGCTTGTGTTCAAGCTGGGTGTTTGCTTGTAACCTTTCTAACTGGTGTTTTCATTGTGGTACCTTCCAGTTGGAGACTGCATGCATAAGCATACATTCATACATATATACTTACGTGGGTGTGTATGGGGGAGAGGGATCTTGGGATTTTATAAGTAGCATTTTATATTCGGTGCATCAAAATATATGTGTATTTGAAGGACTTAATGGCTGATTCTGAAGCACTCTTCCAAAAATGAGTATCATACTAACAGTGCTTTAGAGCAATCACTTTATTGATGTAAATGATGATAGTTTCTGGGTAGTTTTATGCTCATTTAAAGAGTGACAAGAAAATTCAGGTAAGTGAGCTGCAGTATTATTTTGCTCCTGTGTGGTAGATTGATGAGGGAATGCTAGTGGAAGATGCCAGGGAGATGGCAGGGAATAGATCTTTCCGGAGTGGCTGAGCCCCTGCGTGGGTGTAGGGCACTCCTGAGCGCTCAGCCTGCCCTTGAGGTGGCCCCAAAAAACTCATCTGCCTTGGGGTTTGCGTATGAAACACTGAGACTCCCTTATCTGTGCTTTGCTGTGAGTTAGAGAATTAACTGAATTTGTATTGCAGGCTTGAATACTCTTGGATGCAGACAGAGATCCTTGGGATACACTGTACCTCTCCAAGTGATACTGTTCTTCTCTCCATTATGTCCGCAACCTTCAGCCTCAGGTTGCTCCTGCGAGCATGGGGTGGGTTTTTCTCATCTGACAAGACCCACCCAGGGAAGCGCAACCAAGGTGCTCGTGACAGTTACATCTCAGCAGAGCATCCTTTTGCCGTTGACCATTGCTACGGCCGAACGATGTCCTTTCAGCCCCCTTACCTTTTAGAGCTGGCAGGAATTTCCCCACGTGAGCAAGCCAGCGCGGTCGGCCGCCACAGCTCTGACGCAGGGATGGAGGGAGCCCTCCGGGCTGCCGTGGGGAAGGAGCAGGGTGTGGGACCCAGAGCAGGCTGTAGCCTCAGGCGTGTGCTTACCTCTGCTCATTTAACTAGCCTGCACAAAGCTATTTTGCATGGCCGTGTTTGTTTCCAGATGGGTTGGAGCTGACACTACTGGTTGTATCAGTCATGTTAGGTTGATATCTTGATTTTCTCTTCTCTCAGTGCTCTGACAGCATTGGGGTGAGGAAGGGCTTGTGAATACCTACAGAGATGGATAGCAAAAAATGAAGATTCATGAATTATTTTGGTTACTCTTCGGCTGTCAACAGCTCAACCTAATTTAGGTGCTGTGACCTCCTATTTTTCATTTTGGAAATGACAAGTACTTTAGCAATGTATAATCTGCGATGATATTTGAAGATTTGATCCTACAGAAAATCAACCATGTGCTGAATGTGTGCCTCGGGAGCTTCAGTGACTTCCCCGGCATCATAGAACGGGTTGGGTTGGGAGGGACCTTTGAAGGCCATCCAGTCCACTCCCCCTGCAGTGAGCAGGGACATCTTCAGCTGGATCAGGGTGCTCAGAGCCCCGTCCAACCTGGCCTGGAATATTTCCAGGGGTGGGGCATCTCCCACTCTCTGGGCAACCTGTGCCAGGGTTTTACCACCCTCACTGCAAAATATTTCTTCCTTATATCTAGTCTGAATCTACCCTCTCTTGTTTTAAAACCATTACTCCTTGTCCTGTCACTACAGTGCCTATTAAAGTGTTATGTAGGCATAAAGGGAGGCATGAGCATAAGTCTTTGCAAAGTCTGAATATGCAAAGTTTGTACTTTATTTTAGTAAACTTTCTTTTGTTGTTTTTGGCATGTTGCAGCCTTAAAAAAAGGTCGTTTTTGGATCACCCCTGACCCGTACCACAAAGACGACAACATCCAGATTGGGCGAGAGGTGAAAATCTCCTGCCAGGTGGAAGCCATCCCTTCTGAAGAGCTTACGTTCAGCTGGTTTAAAAATGGACGTCCCTTGCGAAGCTCTGAAAGGATGGTCATCACACAGACGGACCCCGATGTTTCGCCTGGCACCACAAACCTGGACATTATTGACTTGAAATTCACTGACTTTGGGACATACACGTGTGTTGCGTCTCTGAAGGGAGGTGGCATATCAGATATCAGCATTGATGTCAACATCTCCAGCAGTACAGGTAAGGAGGCTTTCTCTGATAATCGGTTTGATATAGCCAGAATGTGGCTTTCGTTGACTCGTATTAAAAAGAGGTGTGCACGCAAGAGCACTTCTCACCACGAGGGTATCCAAGCAGACCCTAGATCAGGGGTTGAGTTGCTTTGATTAAAGGACAGAAGCCTGAATAAGTGGCTTTTGGTGCACTCTTGCAAGAGCACACTAGTATCTGATTTAACTGGACATGTCCTCTGTTACTGTCAGAAAAGTTATTGCTTCTGTAAAAGGACTTTGGCCTTTATTTAGGACTTTGAGGCATCCAGAGTCATGAAAAAATAGCGAGTAGGAAATTACAAGGAGAAACAGGAAGGTGTTATGTTAATCAAACTGCATCCATGCAGCTACTCTAATCGAACAGCAAATGCCAAGTACGGAGGAAGGAGCTCGTTTTTTCTTAAAGATTGCACATTGCATATTGGTGAATCAGGCCCTTCCCAACAGGCAAGAAGTTTAAGGTGTCTGTTACACGTAATTCAGTTATTGGAACATCTCTTTCTTTGATGATCTAGAACCCTGGCCGTTACTTTGCTAATAATTCTCTTGTTATTCCTACTATGGAGTAGGAATATGTAACACAATAGTAATTACCTGCTTTTCTTTGTCTCATTGCTAATAGCTGGTTTGTAACCAATAGGTTTCATAGACTTTTCCGCCAGTAGTTTAATAACTGAGGCAGCCCATGTGAATGAAAAGAACGAGGAAACACTCTCAATGCAGAATTTTTTTGCTGCCAAAAATTAGTTACAACCAAAAAAGAAAGAGTTGTTACTGGTTGTTTTCTACAGAGAAGGATGAAAAAAAGCATTTCTGTTTTCAGAACGTTATTTTGTGTTAAAATGCAGAGCCAAATAGTGTCAGTATTATATCTACTATCCATCCTGTCTTTAATAATGAAGCATTGCTGTGCTTTTCCTCAGATCGAGCTTGTTGTTCACTGGGGTAAGACATGCGGTGCCTGCATTTTAGAAGTAAGATGACAACGCATTGGAAAATGTATTTATAGCATAGAAATAAAATGTTTAATAGACATCTTCTGACCCCTTTTTATCGAACATATTCAAGAATATGCCTCTAGTTTTTCAAAAAGACTAAATGCACGCTTTTGCCTCAAAGGGTATATCCACATTTCTGTTCTCCAAATTTGACACCAGTGATACTTTGCAAGTACGTGTCGCATCTGAACAATCTCTCTTACAATTTTCCTGATAAATTATTGTTGAGATTTTAATACATGAACATGCCCTCCATCTTCGGTACGATACTGGTAGCATGGATCCTGCCTGAGCGCCACATCACTTCTGACAGCAGTCTGGAAGGTTTGCCCACTGAAAGGGTTTCATGAAGAATGTTCTGTACAACAGGGAGATGAGAGAGGGTTGACCTGCGGTTTGGGTAGGAGCCTGGGAAGTAAAGCCATGTGGTTGTGTTAGAGACCACTTAAGCCAAATGGACAGCTGAAAGCCCATGGGACTGGATAGGAGGTATCTAAGGGAACTGACCAGTGTCACTTGTGTCGCTTCAAGGCCACTTTATTATCTCTGAAAAGTCAAGGTCACCTAAGGAGATCCAACAAAGACTGGAAAAACTGAAGTTTTAGCTCATCTTCCAAGTACAGGCTAGTCATCCTCAGCTCGGTCCCTGGGAAGGTCAGGGAGGACGTTCACCTAGAAGCCACGTCAGTCCATGTGAAGGACCAGGAGGTGACTGGAAACAACCAGCACAGATTACCAGAAGCAAACTGTGCCTGACCCAGCCTGGTGGCCTTCTGCGATAAAGAAACTGGCTTTGTGGGCAGGGGAAGGGAAAGGAAAGCTATTTACCTTGACTTTGGTAAAGCCTTCAACACAGTCTTTTGTTGTATCCTTATAGCCAAACTGGTGAAGTGTGGTTTGGAGAGGTGGAATGGGCAGAAGGTGGAAAATGAGGTGCAGAGAGTTGTGTTCACTGACAGAGTCAAATTATGTATATGTAAGTGAACAAGCAGTGAGCATTTACGTCATTCACTGTTGCTGTGTCCCACCCTGAAGCGTAACGCACACATACATAAACCTTGAGAAACTGGAGGAAAACACTTATTTAGTCTACTAGTTCTTATTTTAGTTTTTGATATTTATTTTGTATTTGTGTTATTGTTCAGGGATCCTTGAATATTTTACTTCTTTTGACTCAATTTTGTAAGCATCATAGAATCATAGGTCTGGGCTGGAAGGGACTTTTAGAGGCCATCAAGGCCAACCCCCCTGCAGTGAACGGGGACGTTTTCAGCTTAATCAGGTTGCTCAGAACCACGTCCAACCTGGCCTTGAATGCTTCCAGGATGGGGCATCAGCCGCCTCTCTGGGCAACGCATGCCAGTGTTTCAGAGTTTAAATCCACCCTCTCTTGGTGGATTTTCTCATTACCCCTTGTCCTATCACAACAGGTGTTGCTAAGAAAAAAAGTAGAAGCCAGTCCAGAAGCATTTATTTTTACTGTTTGATAACTCTTCAAATTATTTTGGGCAATTTTGTGGACTTTTAGCTAACTTTGGAGTGACTGTGCTGGAGCAATGTGAGGAGCCTGGTGAGACAGTGGTGGGGGGACTGTTCTGTTGCAGTGGAGCAGGCTGGGGCTGCCTGGCCGGGGAGCAGCTCTGCTGGGTCCTGGCAGGCAGCGAGCAGATGTGAGCAGCAGCGTGTCCTGGCAGCTGGGGAGGGCCAAGGATGGCGCGGCTTGGACTCCTGATACAGGAGAGGCTCGAACAAACTGGGCCGAGTCCAGTGGAGTCTGTGAAGACAGTCAGGAGGTCCCTGTGTGGAGCAGCTGCTGCACAGGGGCTTGTCCAGCCTGGAGGAGAAACAAGCCTGGGGCAGCTAACTGCAGTTGACCCCTGCCTATAAGGGATGTGTGGAGAGGATGGAGCCAGGCTCTTCACAGCAGTGTGTACTGGGAAGACAAGAGACAATCACAGAATCACAGCGTGGTCGGGGTTGGCAGGGACCTCTGTGGGTCACCCAGCCCAACCCCCTGCCCAAGCAGGGTCACCCAGAGTGGGCTGCACAGACCCGTCCAGGTGGGGCTGGAATATCTCCAGAGAAGGAGACTCCACAGCCTCCCTGGGCAGCCTGGGCCAGGGCTCCGTCACCCTCAGAGGGAAGAAGTTCTTCCTCATCTTCAGCTGGAACTTCCTCTGCTTCAGTTTGTGCCCGTTGCCCCTTGTCCTGTCACTGGGCACCACTGCCCCATTCTCCTGACACCCACCCTTCAGATATTTATAAGCATTTCTAAGGTCCCCTTGAGTTGAAAGAAGAAGTTCAGACTAGATACAAGGAGTAACTTTTTCCCCATGAGGGTGTCCAAGCGAGAAACAGAGACACTGTGGGATCTCCATCCTTGGAGGTTTTGAAGACCTGAAGAAGCCCTGAGCAGCCTGGTCTGACCTCACATCTGGCCATGCTTTGATCTGAGGCTCGGACTAAAGACCTCCTGAGCTTCCTTTCTGCTTGAATTATCCCATGAAGACTTTAGGGATAGAAACACTGACCAGAGGAACACAGACAAGGAACAGCTCATCTGTTGGCTGAAAGAAACGTGTTCTTCAACCTTATTAATACACATCTTACTAACAGGTAAAGAACTGAGAGGATTATTACAGGGTAAGTGCCGAGTCTGGCGTGATGGATGGCAGTTTCACGCCAACTTTGCTACCAGTGTGCCAGGGTGAAGTGGACAGTGACGTTTGTGCAGTCGTGCGTTGCCCGTCTGGCAGACAGTAACCGCTGTGTTATCTGTGCTTGCTGGGGAGTCATTTGGGAAATGGATGGGATTTATCGGAAACATCCATTAGATGGCCATCCCTAGAAGCTCGTCACAATTTCTGCAGGCAGGGATGAATTATGTCAGCTCTTAAATTTGCTGTCCCGTAACACTCAAGAAAATCAGAAAATGAGGAGAAAACCTAGCGTTTGGCATAAGCTTGGTTTAGCGTCTTAGAAGAAATTCTGCCTATTTATATGACTTCATTACCCCATGAAGTGGAAGCTGAAATAGTTTCAGTATGCTTTTGAAGGTCATTACTGATTCATCAAGATTCATTACTGCTGTGGTAATTAGGAACATAAGGCCTAGGCACAAACACGTTTTCCAAATGCCAGGACTTGCACGGATGTATTAGTACTGTGCTGTGTGTCTGTTTGCTGGTTTTGGGGAGAATTCTCTCTCCCTGACGTGCAAGAGGTTCCTCCTGGGGTGACCAAGGGGGGCAGGAGGGGCTGGGTCACCTCGTGGGGAAGGAGGGAGACGGTTGGGTGTCCTCTGTCCCTCCAGCAGATGGGAAAGGAGCACATGGCAGCACAAGGGACATGCCAGCCTCTTGGCGTACTCGGCGTTGCACTTGTTTAGCAGCAATATTTTTTTCCTTGATATTTTTGTACTTTAAGCAGGAAAGGCATAGA